GGGTGTGGAATTCAAGGTCAGTCATTCCCTTGTACTGCTCTCCTCTTCCTTCAGGATTCTTCCCCTAATGCTAACGCAAAAGGCAACACTGCTGCTGTTCTCAATGAAAGTTGGCTGGAAACTGAAGGATTCTTCTGAGGTGCTGACAGTGCAATGGAAGCTTCCCTGCTCCCCACAACCATGGGGGGAGAAAACCTGGGTGTGGACTCAGGCAGAGAAGTGACATGAGTTGGAGGGATTTCAGATTGAGTGGCAAGGAGAGGGTTCCAAAAAAGAGATGAGTTTTGATAAGGCTAGGGGCTCAGGGAAGATGGTACCTCAGAAGGAGCACCAGTGACAGGGCTGGGAGGCTCAAAGAGAGACTTCCAGGTCAAACTTGATGGAACACTTACTGAATTCCTTTCTTCTGAAAATATGAGATATAGAACATCGTGTTGGATAACTCTCTGTATAATCTCCAAGCTCAAAAGTATGACTGAGAAACCTCAGAAGGCCAGAAATGAGAAGGGATTCCAGTAGGAGCAGATGAGCAGGAGTTGGAGCTGCACTCCAGAGGGGGCATTGAGTGGCCCCATAAGGATGGGTGGCAGGGACTCCAGTAGGCTCTTCACTTAAAGCTGAGTCTTGGGGCAGCGTTCCCCCTATCCACTTTGATTTAGAGAAACTAAACTAACCTCTGCCTGATAATCACCTGATCCTGGCTTTGGGTAGAGAGTATACATGTGGGGATGCTAACCTAAGGCCTGTTCACATAGGGGGTGAGCTCAGGACTCAACTTTCATGCCATGCAAAAATCCCAAGCCAAACATTAGCACCAGCTTGGGCACACACACTTCCCATTGTGTGGACAAACGCAATAGAGAAGTTGGCCCCTACAGGAGCCTCCCTGTTCTGTAGTACAGTGAGGAAAATGTGCTGAGAAGATTTCAAGGATTTCAAGGATTAACTTCTCAAGGTATAAGAAGTACAATATCTTGAGAGACATATCTCTGATAATTATACTTAAAGAACTATAGATATTGGGAAAATCTGAAAGGAAGGTTAGTTAGCACAGTTAACTTCTTCAAGGAGATAATGAAATGAATAGCACCTATGAAATAAGAACAGAAAGCTATCCAACAGGAACAGGTAGCAGGTAAGAACAGAACTATAGTCTGAATTTTTAGGATAGAACGTTTTGAGATTTTAGAAATAAAACTTGAAGTCACTGACATTTTTAAAAATCAATAAGTCTGTTAGTAAATGTAGCTGAAGAGAGAATTCATAAGTTAGAAACTAAAATAGGAAGTCTCCAGAATGAAGCACAGAACAATAAAAAGGTTAAACATAAGAAAAGAGGCAGCGAAGATTGGGTGAGAAACTCTAGCACATACATATTATTAGTTTCAGAAAAAGATACTGGAATGAATGACTAAGCTCTTTCCAGAAATAAAATGTGAATTTCTAGATTTAAAAGGTCCACAGACTGCCTAGTAAGATACTTTTTAAAACAAAACTACATTTAGACACCTTATAGCCAAAGTATAACATCAAGAATAAAAAGAAAATTCTAAACGCCACCAAAGATGGTTTATCTACAAAGATCCAATAATTGAATTGACAATAAGCTTATCATCAGCAACAATAGATGCCAAAAGACAATGGAATAGTATCTTCAGAGTGCTGAGGGCAAATAATTGTGTATCTACAATCCCATACATTGCCAAGTTGTCATTTAATGGCAAAATAAAGACATTTTGACACATCCAAGATCTTAGAAAGCCTACCACAGACTTTCATTGTAAGGCACTGGGCATTGGAAGAAAAGTTGGGAGCTAGAAAGATGGTAGATTCAGGGTTGTGGAAGGGAGACAGCTGTTTCAGTTCTCTTTGGCACCAGCCAGCCAGCAGGAGCCCAGTTCAGCCTGGTGCAACTGAATTCGCCCTTCCTAAGTGACCACTTTCCTGTCCCCCCAGCCCCTCTTCCTACACCAGGGTGTAGTCCAGCATCCAAGCTGTTGATTAGTTGCCAGCCTGGTTCAGGAAGCCATGCCCAAGCTGATCATGTGACCAGACTCTCAACCTCCACCCTGAGGCCCCCTCCTCACCAGGTTAGGGAATTTAGATACCACCTTAGAGGCCTATCGGTGGCTAGAGAGGTGGGTAAAGGCTAGGTACCTACCCAGGTGTTGGTGCCAGGACCTGCTGATGCTGGGCTCTGCAGATGACCCTCACAGATGATCCTGAACTGGAGGACTGTGAAGATGACCAAAAAGTTCCAAAAGAGGGGTAGTTTCTTCAGAGCTGAACTGGTCCAGTGTTTGGTCTTTCCTATTCTCATTCCTACCCACTCCTGTTGCCCCTCCCCCCCAATTAAGATAAGCTCCATGATTGCACAGACCTGGTCTGACCTGTTTTCAACTGTCTTCCTAATGTCCAGAACAGCTGACACACAAAGAGCCAGAGAAATATTTGCCTAGTGTGTGTATGACCACTAACAATCAGAGCTGTTGGAGGAACATCAAAAAGCTCTTCACTAGTTGTCTCAGGAGTTAATAAGTTTCTCAGTAAGGCCATTTAAATGAGGCCTCGATATTTATCTATATCTATATATGTATGTTATGTATGTATCATATATATCCCAGGCCCTGGGGCCAGTACATGAGGTAAGTCTAGGACCAGTGTGACGGGAGCAGAGTGCAGGAGAAAGAAGAGAGACACAAAGCAGGGGACATAGGACGGACCTTGAATGAACTTGGGGTGTCAGAAGGTCCTTATTAAAATCTAACTACCGACCCTGATGTAATACTCTTGAAGAGGATAGTGTTTTCTGTCCTCACTGTTGCCTTAGGGAGGCCCCTCCCTTCCAAATTTAAGGGTCTTATGAGGAAAATGTTTAAGGACTGAGTACCCACTGAAAAAGAGAACAATCCCCTAGTTCCCTTGAGTTGGTCAAATTGGGAAAAGGGTGGGACAGGACACCTGCAAGACTTTGATGTTACATGCTGCCCCCTTGTGGTCTTGGCAGAATTGAGCAGCAAGGAGATCAACTGGGTGGTCTATTCAAAATCCCAGGGACTTCCAGGCTCCACCCAGTATCAGTCTCCAGGAACATTATCCCGCTCCATCCACACCAGATCTGACTGCTTTACTTATTCTGCATATACTCAAGGCTGGCCAGTGAGCTTGAGGAGGGAGCGCAAAGGAAACAGTTCACATTTAGTAAGGATGTTCTCTCCACAGATGTCAGCACACGTACCCCTTTGGCCAGAAAACAAGTGTATGTAAAGGATGCCAGCAGAGCAATGTTTTGGTTTCAGCCCACCCTAATTCAGAGTGACCTTGGGCAAGTCACTGTACTTTTGAGGCTCCCTGTCGCCATCTATAACACCAATCACAAATCCCTCTTCCTGTCTCCCTGCAGGGTCACTGTGAAGATCACTGGGAGGACGGATGCTGCAAATGTTAGGAAAAAATGTTTAAAGAGTGCTCCGGATGTAAGGGGATCAGCTGGGTATTAGATAGGGACTCTCTTGGGCTGCACCAAAGTGTTTGTTTACACCCAGACGGGCCCTGCTGGCCAGGGAATTTAAAGGGCAAGTGCAAGCAAGGAAGCTGCTTGTCAATCACAACAGATCGAAACATGTCCAGAAGAACAGGAGCCTATGGGAACATGCGGCCCACCCACTGGCCTGAGATTCCAGTTACACTGGAGTTTTCAAGTGGCCTCGACATGCAAAAAGTGAGCCAGGAAGTGAACTTCAGCCTCTCCCAGGCCAGCAGCCTTCAGTGCATGCACAGTGCTCCACACACTTGCCAAGGGGGAGGGCCCAGAATCTGAGCTCGCCTGTGCCCCGGAGACATGTCTAGGTACAAGACGGTGGGTAAGGCCATACAATCCCCTTCACGGAGAAGTCCTGAGCTAGAATGAAGCCTGACGGACGCAGGAGACAGAACACTGAACTTGGGATTCCGAAGTCCGCAGGGCTGCCCTGACCCAGCTGCAGGGCAGGGCTACTGACTTCAGGTGACAGCGACCTGCTGCACCCCCCTGAAGACATCAGAAGGACGAACCTTCATTTCCTACTCAACTATATTCTTCATTCTAATGTATCATTCTACTTCATCATGTGTTTTTCTGAAAGTTATCTTCATTTTTCTGGTGGTATAGGATGAGTCCATCTGGGGAGCTGCTGAAAATGAAATAAGTGGCAGAGATATCCACATACCACATACCAGTGGTGGATCTATGGTGAGGAAATTCTAAGGGCGCCAGGGTGAGACTTGAAATCATGTGATATTAAGGCCTCCTGTCCAGTGCCTTGAGACACTCCGAGACAAAGTGGTCCAAGGTCTGATGACCTTTTACTGTCAGGGGAGAAATACCCATTTACCCTGGCACCTCTGTTCTTCCTATGACAACAGATCTCATTCTAGTTGAAAGGATGGCAGCCAAGGTAAAACAGAGAGCTCACCACTGGCCTCTACGGCCAATGAAGCCCAATGAAGAGGAGCAATATTCTTTCTATTGTCCCAGCTCAAGTGAGTAGGAAGCAGGCACCCGCTGGAGAGCCTTCTGCATCACCGTCTGACAAGGAGCTCCAGCGGCCCTCCGTAACAGATGCCATGCTATGAGCAGGCAGCTGAGAGGGCAGCCCATGCCACGGCAGTCAGGAGTGGAGGAATTCTCCTGGTCCTGTCTTAAGGCTAGCGATGGCTTTCTCCACGAGAGATGCCCTCTTGACTCTTGACCAAACAGGTCATAGCTGAGTCCGGCAAGCGTGCAGCAGAGACCAGGAGGAAGGCAGGCAGGCAGCATGAGCAGCAAGTGGATTCTGATGCGGTTCATTTCTTAAATCAGTCGAAGACTGCAGCTTGAATAACCAGTGTCAGTCCCCTTGGCTTCTGACGTCTCCTCACAAGGGTCCCGCTCTTTCAGACACTCAAGCTGAGAGAAAAGAAACCTTTCCAAAGCAAAGTGGCCCCATGAACTCCCCAGACACAGAAACCCAGACTCTAAGTTATCTAAAATGAAATTTATTGCATTTCATGCAGTTTGAAGTCCATGCAGCAAAGGAGACTAGCACAATTTTTAATGCATTTTAAAAATGAAATAAAAAACGGGGGGAGGGAAGCCAACGCACAAAGTTCTAGTCTCCTCAGGCCCCTAGGAGAGAAGGTTTGGGAATGAAACCACTTACTCTCCTTGGCAAATGAGTTCATCTCCTAAATCGGGAATGTTTCCACGACCGCTGGATCCTGGATGCAAGTACACAAAGCCCCGGGGCAACGGGGCACAGGAAGAGGACCACGGGTGAGAAAGAGGCGACACACACTCACCTAATTTAATCTGAGGGCAGGGCAAGGAGGCCAATCCTCGGGCACCCACCTGCCCCAAGACTCAGGAGATAACATACACCCTGAACAGATCTGCTCCTAAAAAGAAATGCCAGTAGGAACTAAACAAGGAAAACAAAAGAAAGTATTTCTTCAACAACACTCTTCAAGAAAATGCCATAAATATGTTATTTAATATTTTCATTTCATAGAATTGGACACACAGCTCACATATTGAAATATTGATTCCTTGGAGAAAAAGTGGAAAAAGGAAATAAAAAATATTGCATCTTTCTGTTGGAGAATCTCGGCCCCAGACGGGGGCGCAGTGCACCAGTGTCCTAGCCCGCAGGAGGCGCTGAGGTCCACCCGGTCCTCTGGGGAGGGAGGCTGTGCCCCTTGCCCAGGGGCTATATGGCAAAAACTGTGTTGGGTGTCCTTGACCTTGCCAGCTCAGGCCTCAGTCGGCGGTCACCTGGGAGGCCTGCCCATCGGAGGGCTGGTTGGCTGACTGGATGAACATGGGCTGGGCGAGGTCCTGGCCGGCAGGCATGGTCACTTGCTGGATCTGGTAGAGCTGCTGTGAGGGGTGGAGAGGAGAAAGTGAGGTCACGCCTGGGAGAGGGGCACATGGCGCCCTTCGGGCCTCAAGCTGGCTGATGGCCCCAGATACCTCAACCACCGCCCATTGCAAGGTGTCAGAGGGAGGAGGATCCCTGCTGGGGTCGGAGCAGCAGACGCAGGAGGTACCAGCCTGTATGGGGTGTGTGCTGGGTGGGGAAGAGGTGCAGGGAGTGGCTTTCACTTCTCTGGACTCTGCCTCTCCCATTAGCTCAGAGCCTCAAGCTTGCTGCATGCAGCTTCTCTGTGACAAACACTAGCAATTCGAACTACTATACCAGCAGCTTGGCAGTCAGCATGTCCCCATCTTGGGGTGCTCTCACTGGCAGGGGCAGTATGATAATCTCCTCTCCTTTCTTCTGAGCACCTGGCTCAGACTGAGGTTACCGGGATCCTGCATTTCCTACCTGGGCCTTGCTAAGGAGGACACTTAGGATCAAAGACTTACTATGAGCCAAGACCCCTGAAGGGTGGAGAGATGCTCACTTAGCCACTATGGGAGGTTAGGGTCCACTGGACGCTTGGTTTCTCAGGTGTCTTCAAAAGAAACCAAAAACCAATACCATCTGCCACAGGAGCCCTGGCATGTGAACCTAGCGCCTACAGCTGGCAGAAGCCAGAGGAAGAAGAGGCCAATTCCTCTTTCTCTGGGCAACAGACACACAAACTTGGCCATGCCATCTCAGGGTCTGAGACTGCAGTGTGTGGGAGAGGGGGCAGGAAAGGGAAGAGGCCTTCCTCTTGCGGGCGCAGTAGTACTGAACGCCAGGCACTGAACAAGCGTAAGCAGTCACGTTTGCTGCCTTTCTCCTAATCCACGCTACTGGACAGCAGCCTGACTTAGAGAAAAAGCAGTGGTAGAGAGGGAACCAAGCGTTCTGGTCCCAGTGCAGTGAGCAGCTGAGTGAGCAGGGCCAAGCTACTGCCCATCTCTAGAGTGCCATTTACCCCTCTGAAAAACAGACTTGAGGTGAGATTATCTAGAGCTCTCACCAGTATAAAAATCTAAAGGACCGGCACCCTGATTTAAAGGCGCTACTTGTAACAACTGTCCGCTTACGCCTCACCCAGGGCCCCTGTCCAGGTTGGGCCTACCTGTCCATCTGTGAACTGGCTGAACTGCTGCTGTCCTTGCTGGACCTCAGTCTGTGTGATCTGTGGAAATCAAGAGGCAGGGGAGGTGTGTCAGCTGCAAGGTCTGGTCACCAGTCCACCACCCAGGAGAGGGTGGTGTCGATCAAATGTGGCAAACAGAGTGCCAAAATGAAGCCGGCACAGGGCAGACACTCAGAGTAAGAGGAAGGCAAGGGCCCCTCCCACCCCAGCACCGATGGCTCCGCAAAGTTAGCACCATGCCGGAGGCTCCGGGGCACAGAATACAGAACCCTCATAATTCTCTCTTTTACCTATTCTTACTCTCCACCCTCTGTAAGGTCTTTCTGTGGCTTCAGATTCAAGACAAACAAAACCCCTAGCTCCAAGATGCTGGCAAGACAGGGCTTAACTTTTATAAAGTTTAAGCAGAAACCCTAAGAGAATGTCTTTCAGCCACTGAAAAAAGATCGCAAAACATTAGCAAAGTGGCAAATGGTCTCTCTCATTCTTGGAAGGTGGGCTCCAAACCAAGCCGTATCACCCAGGTTATCTGAGTGGAAATAGGAAACACCTGGCGAGCAGGAAGCCTGGGCCCTGGCAGCCCACATGGCAAACCTATGAAGTACTTTTTCCGAGAGTGGCCACATGCAGCCCTCTCTGGGCCAAGGCAGGGGCAGAGGGGGGCAGGGCAGGGACAAGGGAAATGAACAAAGCAAACATTTATCACAGACTTCCACTCTTCTGCAGGACTTTAGAACTGACTGCCATGTGGAACAGCATGTGTGATGCTGGCTGCTGGGCATCCTGGGGGCTAGAGAGAAGTCCAGAGCGTGCTTGTGCACGTGGTGCTCTGGAAACACCTGACTAACCATGTCCTCTGTGTGCCTCCTCCTGGAACTATCTCAGTTCCTGGTCCTGCAAGGTGAGGGCCATCCTCTTGAAATGCTGTCACGACAGCCCAAAACAGCCTGCCAGGCCCACCCATGAGACTTTGAGGAGCAAACAGGTATGAAAGGGCTACAGGAGGGTTTCTTATCCTTATTCCTGTTTCTCCTCTCACCAGTCCTTAAGTTGCTTGAGGGCAGGAGGGGAGTTTTGTCTTTATCCCTCCCAGTACAGAGTAAGTACTCAAGAAATGGCTGCAAAATAAATGAGTAATGCAGACAATGGAAAATATTTCTTATAAGTAAGAATTTCTTAAAAATTGCTGTGGCCAGCAAGTGTTATATACACTGGCTGAGAAGAAAGCTTCATTTGCCTTTTAAGTCCTTTTATATATGTTTATCCAACACTCGATCAACAAACACTACTGAATGAGCACCTACTAAATGCCAAATTTTCATATGTTGCACATACGTATTTTTCCTGTATTTTGACAATCAAACTCAGAGAGCCCTCAGGTACCAGCGGTCTGCTTCTCCCTTTCCTCTCTGGATACTCAACTCTCCCACTTTCTGAATGGTCCTTCCTTGCAGGTTAGCTGTGATAGTTCCAGGAGAAGGCACACAGAGGACATGGCCAGTCAGGTGTCCCACAGTTTCTAGTCCCAAACGTGGTTCTAGAGAACCAAGAACATTTTTTCTCTCACGTCCATGCCATAAAAACTTTCTGGATGCCAGATTAGACGCTTACAAAAATTTTTTTCCTTTTTTAAATACAGGGGTGCCCAAGGGGATGTGACCAGTGACATCCAAGGGTATGGCCAGTCTTCAGATCCAATTCTGCGTCACTGAACTCTAAGGAAGTTAGAGAAACGCCCAAGTCCTTATGCCAGAAAAAGAATGGGTTTGAAATGGCCCTTTAAGGAGTCAAGTGACTATTCTGAACACAAGACTTGCTTTTTGGCTCATTCCTCCTATTTTCCCAAATGAGATCTTTAGAGACCTGCTCTACAAACTCAGCTCTGTCACCACTGTCAATAGATACATCACTAGAAATGCAACTGGGCCAGATAGGTCCAGCTCTTAAATGATTGCTGCTTTTTTTGGGTCTGAGGCAAAAGAATCCATTACAATGCCTCCCCTTGATCAGCACCCCCACTCCTGTAAAATGATGCCCATGGCCCCAGTCCCCAAGTCCAGGAGGAAGCCCCTTTGCACATGCGGCTCATAGCCTTCAATATCTCAAAATACAAGAGATTGGGGGGGGGGGTGCTTTCTTGCTAGGGATGTAGAGGGAGGTGGGAGTAAGCAAGCTTACCAGAGGTCACAGGAGGTGCCAGAACACAATAGCTATTTAGGTTTAAAGAGGGAAACACTGAGTCTAACAATGAGGCAGTCTGTCAAAACGCTTCCTCCAATTAGACTTGCGCACAGCACATCAGGCCACCCTCAAGTATCCTTGAGACTTCTACCTTGTGTTCCTTTTTCCCTTGAGAATATGATGGTAAGAGACATTGAATCCAATCCTCCAATTACTTCCATTGGTCCCTTGGGGTGTGGAACAGATGTGCGGGTGTGGAAAGGGCTCTTGCCAAATGCCAGGTGGTCAGAGCTGTGTGCTGAGCACTCCTCTCCAGCCCTTAATCAGCCCAGCTAGCCCCCAACTCAAGCCCTACATCTCCGGGGCACATACCTGTTGAGCATTGGTGGCAAGCGTCTGGATCTGTCCCTGCACAACTTGGGTGCCTGATACAGGCTGGGCTAAGCGAATATACTGCAGCTGGCCAGCGTTCAGCTGCACCTAGGGTAAGGCAGAGAGCAACAGACCACAGGAGACTGAGTGCAGCCTCAAACCGGCAAACTCCACGACCAGAGATGGTGATCATCCCCCCAACCCACACCACCTCCCCACAGCCGTCCCAGTTAGTATACCCTGCACAGTTTCCTTTTAACAGAGTTCAAAATAAAATCATCACATCCCCACCCCCATAAGCCACACAACACAAAAGAAGGGTTTTTGGAAGGAATTCCCAGAGGGTCATGTGACATGTGTGAAAGGAGCATGGGTGCGCCCTCAGCGCTCAGTGACCCTTAGTGCCTGCTGTTTACCTTGGGATTTTATCCCAAAGACTGTCTGGTATGCTTGGAACGCTCGTACCTAAGTGACCCCGAGCCCATTGCCACATGCCAGTTCCCAGAAGAGCTGAGCTCATACTGAGCGGAGGTCCAGCATCCACCAGGACCCCAAAGCATCCAGCAGTCACTGCACCAGAGCCTGAGTCCGAGCACTGGCCACTCCCCTGCTGCACATCTTAGAAGACAAGACTGGCCTCTTTACTGTCTTGCTCTACCTCAGAGTCCACACCAATGGAGGTCTGAGACATTCTCAGTATCCTTGGTGTTCAGCACTAGCTTCTGGCCAAACACCTCCCAAGGGAAGCTGAATCAATAAACCTTTTACAGAAAACCCCATCATGGGAAACCAAAGCTACAAAAATGCCCTTAAGAGTCCCTCATGCTTACGATTGAGCCTCAGATAATACAATCATACCACGTGCTGCATTTAATTGTGTGCTAAAAGCCTTAACTCAGGCTCTTAACGCTCTAGTGTACCATGAAAGTGTTAGTGCTTTGCGCATGGGGAGATGAGTGGACTAAGGCGGTGACAATGTGAGAGGAACTAGGGCTCGACAGAGAGAACAGTCAGCAGAGCTGGACTACGGACATCGTCACTTGGAATTTGGGGGTGAAAGCGACTCCAGAAGGACAAGCAGATTCAGTCTATGCGTTGCAAGGGTGAGCTTCTGAAGGCTGACAGGTAAGTCATGACACTGTCCTGAAGCCAATCTTCCCCTTGCCTTTGAGAGCCAGCTTCACTGCAGGGAACTTTACTTCCATGAGGAAAATGCCGACAGGATGAAGCTGCACTCCTGCATGCAATGTTAAATCAAACTGTTTTTCTGAAACGTCCAGCCTCAAAGACAATTTAACCACCAAGAAAGGACTAAATTCTTGGTAGATGATTTCAGAATTGCCTGCTAAAGGTAAGATGGACAAAAATCCAAGCCTGTTAAGAATATCTGCTTCAGAGAAAACAAGAGTAAAATATTGTAATCTGCAGTCATTTTCCCCTGAGAATATGTCAAGAGGAATTGCCGGGAAGCCATAACGCCAAGCCAAAACTCCCTACTGAATCCCACAATGTGGCCTCCAGGGAACAATGTCAAGTTGCTGGTGGGGGTGAAGGCAACTGGGTAGAGGCTAAGGAAAGCTCATCTGCTACTGGTCCCAGGCTGGTCCTAGAAGTCATGAGGACTCCGTCCAGTAACAGGACAGAGGACCACCTTGCTGCAGGAGTGAGGAAGGTTCCTGCTGGGCACAGGGATTGTTTTTCCACATTTCCCAGGGGGGAGTTCTTTGCATAAACTCAAATGTGACTGAAAAGTTGTAGAGGCAAGAAGCTCTCCTTTCAGGCTTTGGTTTAAACATGTGGCGATGTTCCGGCCCCAGCCCTCCACAAGAGTAGGTCTCAGAATCCTCACATTAAAGAACAAGTAAGCCTACCCTTGGGCTTCAACAGAGAAGCAAAATTTCCTTCCTGAAGGTCATCACTACTCTCTTGCAGAAATGGGAACTCCTGCAGGAGATATCTAAGCCCAGTGAATTCTGCAATAAATCTTCTGTGCTAAAGTTCAATATACCAGAGGGTTAAAAACACTGAGTTGAAAATACAAAGTAGGAATCCTTCTCTGGCTTAAATGAGCATGTTTTGATGCCTTCACATGCAAAAATGAAAATCATTCAAGACAGAGGACTTGGGGTTGACAGCCAGAACAGTAAGGCAAGGCACCTGGAACTGATTTGTGGTGGGAGACACTAGATAGACAGACCAACACAGAGCGATGCATGATCCACTTTCCACTGGGCCTTTGTTACTTTGTTCACTAAATTGGAACAGTTCCAAAAGCAGAGTTGAGAATACTTTTTTTTTTTGCAAAGAGGAAGTGGTTAACCAAGTTCAAGTGAGTTTCTATATCTGCCTACACTTCATTTATAATAGGAAGGGCAAGAAGCAAGAAACAGAAGGACTGTTGCACCCTGTCACTTGCTTCTACATTTTTTGGTGACAAAATGACCAATGTATAGATGGCAAGTGTTAAGAAATGATTTTTTTTCCCCAGAAGAACAAGTACAAGTAAAAAAACCAACAAATCTAAGAAACGAAATCCCTCAAGGCACACAGGAAGCAGCAGTCCACAGTGAAGGAATGGAGAACTTAAATGAAAGCCAAAAATACACTTTGCTGCAAGCTCCACTGGGAACTGACTCATGAATATGCAACAAGTGTATTTATGGCCTTCCATACACACCTCCCTCTTATTCACTGCTAATCAAAAGACAGGAGCGCCTCAGAGGGCCTTTAGGCCTTGCGGTGAAATAGTGGTTACAATTTCTCTTGTGTGGGTGGAATGAGGGGAAACAGAGAAGAGTTACCCCAAATGATGAACCTGAACTCCTGAACCTGGATGAAAGAAAAGCAAGTGAGTGAGTAAACAATGAAGTAAATTGTGGGCTGGGTAACAGGAAGACAGACTGAAGAGCGTGTGAGGGAGCGAGAGAGCCCACCCTTTAAGTACTTCCTGTTTTAAAGTGAGTACAGTGTCATGAGGACGAGGACGTCGAGGCAGGGAGGGCTTACCGGGATCTGCTGGATCTCTCCCGTGTTCGTGATGATCTGCTGCATCACCTGCATGGTCTGTCCAGTCCCACTCTGGGCCTGCTGGGCTTGACCTTGTGGCTGGGCCTGGACAATCTGTACCTGCTGACCTTCTCCAACCTGCATGGTCACAGGTGTGGTCTGGAAGGAAAAGTTGTAAGTCATGAGAAACTGACCGAGCTCTGGCTCAGAGCCCGTAGACTTCCCTAGGGGTTAATGAGCAGTTAGGTAGGAGCAGCCCCTCTAGGAATGTCTTAACTCATCTCAACACTAAGAGCAATCTTCAGAGTCCTGTGGTACTGCTCAAGTTACTCTCCAAAATAAAAGGAGGAAAAGTCATCTGAATTTTTAGACTCAAAGTGCAGAAAACTCATCTAGGTCCCAAACATCTGTTTGAAATGTAATCTTTCATAGCCCCTTTAATTATATTCATACAGTACAAAAGAATTAAAGGCAACTATGGCCATTCACTTGAGAAATGGCCAAAGTCAAGCCTGGAGCAGGTGACTTTGGAGGGTAAACTAAATGGAAAGTGCGTCAGTATGACGACTGCATTCAGGATGCCGGGCACCTTCTTAGACACGCAAGGCACTAGGGAGAGAGCAAAGTGCACATGGCTTCCTCCCCATTCAAGCAGCGCCGCCACTCCAGCCCACACCAGCCAGATGGCTGCTCAAGACCCTAACACAGCTGGCCCATGGGAAAGGCAGACATGCAGGAGATACTGGACACAAAGATATGGATCTTAACTGAGACCACCCCCACATTACAGAATTTAAGATAGCAAAAAATTTAACATTCTAGAAACAGACATCTCAGATGTAAGCCATTTCTATCTAATGCAGTTGGCTTGGAGGATTCTGTTTCTCACATACTTAGTGGATTATAGTCTCATGAAACCCACTCCTTTGAATGATTTGAACTGTCAAAGGGCCAGTTATTTCTTCAAATCGTAAAACTTCAGCCCTAGGTATAACAGGTCACCCGAAGCAGTTCAGTCCAGCATATCTCACTCCTCTGGTGTTAGGGGTGACTGGTGGAGTGCAAGGAGGGTGGCATCCCACTCCAACTGGGATATGCTCTTTCCCCATCTAAATTAAATAATCACCTCAATAAGAATTTTGGGCCTCTCAATGAGCCATGGGCTTCAGCTGATGCTCTAGCCTGATGAGCTTACATTCAGATGGCTCAGAGGCAAAGGCACAAGGGGAGGGTATATTCTCTGGAACGACAGATGAGATTCAAGAAATTGCTAGGTAAGAAGAAATTACTATAAACTGGAGGAGCATAGGGAAGAAAGATGACAAGGGCTCTGCAAAAATATTAAGCACTGGGCTAGGACAAGAAATATCTCCTGTTCTTACACCACAATTTTCAACTTGCCCTTTTTGGGAAGATGTCTAGGAATAAATTTCCAACTTTATGAAAGTAAACAAAAGATACACTTTACCAAGAAATGCTCTCCTTCCAACAGTAATATGTAGTCTGTCCTGCAAAGGATACTTGCACTCAACTTGAAATAGCCTTTACTACTGACTGGTCCAGAGAAGCGTGACACAGCACAAGGCCATCTAAACAGTGAAATAATTGCTGGCAGATGCCGGGAGAAACCAACTTCACCATCCTTACACAGCCTTATCAGTTCTAAGCTGAGCAGTCTCGGATAGCAGAGGATAGATGAAATTTTCGCTGACTAAAAAAGAAAATGCATTCTGTCAACTCATCACTGTACTGTATCAACTCAATTTTCCCAAGAGGATTTCCAAGGTATTTCCAGATCACTTCAGGAAAATGAAGGCTTGTGTTAGCGTGGCAGCTGTCAAGTCATGTATGGAGTGCCCAGCTCGCAGGACACAACAGTCACACGCTTCTTAGGACTATCAGCCAATCAGCACCATTCCTTGACAGACTCTTAGTTCACTCTGCAGAGGGGTAAGACCTCCAGCAGGTGAAGCTCTCACCACTGCTGAGGCACAAGCATTAGCCAGAGACAGGCCTGCAGGCATCACAGTGAGAGAACACCTTGAAGCAGAGATTGGCTCATCTTTGAACCCTTCCTGCCTAGCACAGTGTATGGTCAAAAGCCAGCACTCAATAAATTTCTGTCACATGGATAAAAAGAATGAACAGGAAATAAACCCTAAAATCATAATTAATACTTAAATCTACATCCATCCCCATTTTTTCCTTCTAATCAAATTCTGCTCTTTACCAGAATATACAGGTTACCTATGATGTGACCAATTTCTATCTTTTTAGACTATATTCCCCTATGTTAACTACACCTGCCCACTACTCTCTGTGCTGTTTCTCACCTCTAAGCCTTTGTTTACCCTGTGTGCTCTACTGGGAAAGCCCTCTTTATCTGATTAATATCTACCATCCCCTCTTAAGACTCCCATCATTCCCTTCAGGGAAACTTCTCTGACATTCTCTCTCACCACCTCCCTCACATCTTTGTTAGGTACTCCTTTTGAGGTATTCTCATAAGCCCCTCTACGCAATCCAAAGAATACTTATACTTCTTATGCAGTAGTATAATCTTGAAGTACTTGTAGTCCTGACTGTGAATGCTTAACAGTAGGGACTGTTTCATTCATGCCATGTCCCAGTACAGCTCAGGACTTCATCTACAGAGGATGCTCAAAGTTTGATGACTAAATTAATGATTAGAACTGAAACTGGGAAATCGGAGAATGGAGGTCTCTGCAATCTCTTATGATCCCTGACAAATGCGAATGTTACCGCTCTCATGGGGAGTGAAAGAATCTTCTGATTACTATTGTGAAGTTACCTGATTCAAATATGATGGAACAGAGAAATGTCAGGAAGAAGTGGAGGAGGTGTGCAGGAAGACAATGATGCCATCTCCCCAGTACAGGTACAATTTCCAATTCCAGTTTAAGCACACAGAGAGACATGGAGTCCACTTAAATGGCTTCCAACAGATGCTGCCTCTGTTCATGGGACCATTACTGAGATATCTTCCTTCTAAAATTTTTAAACTCATAGGGATCTTGTCCACTGCAGCACTTTCCTCATTTGACCCTGACCCATGAGGAAAGCAGGGCCCTGTGAGATTAGTGACGTGCCACCTTAGGGGGAAAGGCCAGGTTTCCAGACTGCAAGCCCAGTACCTAACTTGCCTCTCTGCCCTCATCCTGCTTTCCCATCTAGACAGAAGAGGTGCTGTCTTGCTGGGCAGGCATGGCCACGGCGCCCACCACAGCTCACAAACCTGGCCTTGCTGTGGCTGTGCGATGATGATCTGGCCTGGCTGGATGGTGGTTGTGGAGCTGGTGGTCTGCTGGCCTTGCTGCTGCCCCTGGACTTGGACGGCGGTGGGCTGCTGAGCCAGCGTGAAGTAGTACTGGACAGGCTCAGCAGGAGTCACAGACTGGCGCACCTCCTCCTGTGGGGTAGAAGGAGAGGCAGGTAAGAAGAAAAGACCCGACTCAGCAGCCACCACAGTGAATTTCCATTCTTCCCCCAAACTGGCTGGGTGCAGTTGCCTGCTGAATGCTGAGCTCTCCACATTTGAAGCCAAGGGAAAGTAGAATTCGAAGAGACCAGTTGTGCTAAATCAAACTAAAAATAACAGATTCCATAGGCTTCACAAAATATACAGCCAATTTCCTGAAGTACAGAGTAATCACCCATTGCGTGATGAGTTGCAAATGGGCAAATAATTACCATAACTAAAAACCACGCACCAGCAGTGCTTGTCAGTAAATGCTGTCAAAGCCTGCGATCTGAGAACAGTGCTAATTGTGAGCGCTGGGAAGATGCTACCCAAATTTCACGCTCACAGGGCGGCTCCCAATCTCCCGGACAGACTGGGATAAAGCACTCATCTTATTTTGTTCCCACCACCTCAGAGGGAACAAAGCCAGGGAAGCCAGGGAAAGGGAAATAGGGTTTTTCCAGGATTGGAATTTCAAATTCAAATGTCAGGGTCTAGAGCACTGGTGGGCAAGTGCCCAGCTTTTCACAACACACTAAGGGTTCTGAGGTCACTGAGAGCCACCCCTACCCAGCGTCACCTCTGGTTCTGATTGTACTTAGCCACAGAAGTGCAACCCAGAGGGCCTGAGGGACAGTTCTCCGCTGGGGTGCTGCCTTGGCTGACTAGGGAAGTAACATTCTGTCCAATCTGCAGGGTGAAGAGACTGTTCCTTCTTCAGCTGATGTTTTCCATGGCAGAAGGAGTAAACAACCCTCTCCCAGCCACCTTGAGCTCACAGCTGAGAGTGTAGGATGTTTACACACACTACAGCATGGTTACAGCCTGAGGGTCCAGAGCTGGTCAGTCCCTGACCCCTGACGCAGAGGTCGGCGTCTGCTCCAGAGGGCCCAGTGACACAGGTTACCCCTGCCTGGGACAACAAAAACAACAAGAACATACAACCACTTGGGCTGACTAAACAAAAATATCAGCTAAGTTTATGCCCTTGTTCTGGGTTAGGTTTGCCAAGTTCAAGGAAAGAGGAAAAGATACTCTTTGCACTCTGTGGACTGCGTTCAGCTCCCCAAAGTGACATTTACAGAGTTCATACTGACTCCATCCCCTCTCTAGATGAGCTGCCTTGATCTGTACTTCCATAGTTCTTTCCTCATTACACTTTTTGTACTTGCTTATTAAACTCATTGTTTTCCCTGCTAGAATGCAAACCCTGTGAAGGGCAAGCCTAGCTCTTTCTTGCTCCCCAACACCTCTACTATCCACTCCCTTGAAGACACTCAATGAGTGCTTACTGAATGGTGAATGGGTTTATAGAGCCAGACAGACAAGTGGAGTTAAGACAGTACTCTTTTTTTGTAACTCAAGTTGGTAGCAATGACAAGTTTCTTCAGCCCAGTAGCTGTTACAAATAGAAAAGAGTTCCTAAATTCTCTTCGATACTTTTAAGATTCTGAGGTCGCAGTGTAGGGAGAAGCTATTTTCCCCCACAGAACAGAGCTTGCTATTCTTTTGCTTACCTGGTGAATGGGGACCAGGATGCTAAAATGAGCTGATCATACAGTCTTTGAGAAACTTTGATCTCTTGTGTGACAGGTTTCCCCGATCGCCAACCATTCAGCCTGGGCAGACTCTTGTAACATTCTGAGTTTCTAACCCTGCTCTTGCTACCGATCTAAATAGTTTTAACCCTTATGCTAAGAAAGGGTAGTCTGTCTATATCATCTAGGTCTCAGTTTCCAGAACAATTTAATAATAGTGACAATGTCATCTCCATTTCAGCTCTAACTTCTCCCCATTATAAAGGTCAGCCTATCAACTAGCTCTTGGCTATAGCAGACATAAAATTCTGATATCCTCCTTAGCCAAGAAAACAGAACACAGAGACAGCTCTTGTCAAAGCTCTCAAAATAAGTTCAATGTATTTTATTTTCTACTGAGATCTCCCTTCCCAATTCATTAAAGAAAGAAAAATCAAACAATACAGTTCAGAGCTAACTTGAAAAAGCTTTTGGGTGATGAAAGGATAAGGAGGACCAAGACCCCAGAACCAATGTGTGAAAGTCAGACAGCAGGGAGACACTGGCTAGTTCCCAGGCCTGAAGTATCTGTCTCCAGTGATTCCTGACTGTGGCTGATGTGCGAGTGAGTATGTTGTTACCAAACAAAAAGCAAACCTTTTAAATACTCCTCTCAGAAACTAAAACACCCATTGCCAAAACCTATGAGTGCAGCGAAGTCTTCCTCTCATGGCTACTACCCCTCTTGAATTGTGTATCACCTAGGCAGAGCCCAGGACACTATGTATCAAGTAAAGGTACCTAGGTGGTTGTTTTTAGGACAAGCATGACTGTTAGCAATCACTGGAATGGAAGGAATCATCTCTAAGGTCCTTCTATATTACAAAGACTCATTCTGCCAATGGAGATCAAGTTAGCAAGGGAATGATTATGTTTGGTTTAAAGAAATGGGTGAAGAGAAAAATGACATTTCAATGGGCAGGAACTTTCAACTCATAGCTTTAGTGGGGGTAAAAGTCAGGCCTCAGCTACCTTCTGCTTTGCAGTAGTCTTTACTTGCTTCCCTGAAGAACAAGAGAAATTCCCAAGCATCTCTGAGAGGTCAAGGGCCTTAGATCCACAATTCAGTATTTCTTGCTCCTTCCTTTCCCCAGCAGTGGAACATCATCCAAAAAGCTAAGACGATCTCCCAGTGACTGGCCCAACCCAGACTGGGGCACTTGCCCCGTTTTGGTAGTGACCTCCCCGACTAGGGAACTTGCCTTGTAGTAGCCTCAGAAGTGGAGACTAACAGCCACCACTAGCGAAGAGCAGCAGCACCTCCCAGGGCCACCACTACAGTAGTGTGCAGCCAGCCCCAGACTGGAAAAAAGTGCATTTGCTTCAGTAGCAAGAGTGAATTGCTGCCTCCTTCAGAAGGGTGAGTTTTGGAGAGTAGGCGCTTTTAAAAGACTTAAGGAGGTGCCAGGCAATTTGGAGCTTGGGAAAACTTCATGTCTACAGAGGATTAAAAGTGCTATCTTAGAGTTTCAGGCCAGCTTTTAGCAATCTCAACCTTTCAATGGCCAGGCAGCAGCTGTCCTGAATAGGATGCCGATCAATGGCTTGAACACCCACAAAGAACTGAATCCAGGCAGCAAGGAGCTATTTTAGCTAGACACGCTTTAAAAGATGGATCATAACACTCAGGGTAGGATAGAACAAGGAGTTGACACCCTGAGAGAGTCAAGCACTGAGGACTTTGGAGAGAGGGATAGGAAACAACCATTCCTCCCAGCCCGCTGGTTTCATAGGCCTCCCACAGAGAACAAGCAGGAGTTAGCACAAGTGTTGAGCAAGGCCTGATTTTGTCACAAAGCTCACCACTTGGTTTTTAAAAGGAGCTTCTGAAACAAATTCCAACAAGAAGTACAGATGGCTTCATTTGTTTTGAAGGAAGAGAAGAGGTCTGAGTTCTTGTAGTGACTTCTCAGGGAGGAGGAAAGCACCCCAAGAGGAGGAACTGAGCCCGTGGGCACACCCTGCAATGTCTCAAAGGTAATGCACAGCCAGGGACGACCGTGGCAGCCTGCCGCTGTAAACATCCGACTGAAAGCTCCTCTAAACACCTTACAGCTTCCAGTCAAGGATGTTTACAGTAGCAAAGACTGCCCAGAAAGAACGGAGACGCAGGGAGGCATCTGCTCCACTGAGGAGGTGGCAGAGGGTTTGCTAGTGTAAGGCCCCCAGCAGGGTCAGGATCACAAATGTCCTTTAGGGTGCCCACTTCTATATCTCTGACTGGTTATTCATAGAAGACAGCATGGGAGAAAGGTTGTCACTGAATAATTCTAAGGATAATATGCTATGAAATAATTGATTAAAATCGTAGTTGTATTAGCAATAGAAAGCAAGCAGAACAAGGTACAGATTTGTTCCTGCCAGATGGTCACTACTCTCCAGGTGTTTCTACTACTCCTAGTGAGTCATGAAGTCTCCTAAAACAACACGCTCCATAGGACAAGGGTCCACTACAATTCCAGTTCAGAGCTGTTTGCACCCAAGGTGCTGAAAACAGTCAGTGTGGAGAGGGGCAGGCAAAAGAGAGGGAAAGGCGGATAGTCACATTCTTTCTCATGATAGCTTAGAAAACAGCTGAAGTGGTGGTTCTCAAATTTAGATGCACCTGGAAAGCAGCTGGGGAACTTTAAAAAGTACTGATGCCTGGGCCTCTCCCTCACAGACTGATTCGGGTAGTGGAATGGAGCCTGGGCAACAGTATTTTTTAAACCCTAACAGGTGATTTAATGTGTAACCGACACCCTATATAGAGAACCACTATATAGAGAAATTAGAATAAGGAAAGACCAAAGCCCACTCCAAACACCACTGGGCACTCAGAGAAGCCACTTCGTGAAGATCTACACTCTCCAACTCCCTGGGAATACACCCCCAGGCCAGATTAAGGATTCCAACCAACATCCTAAGGTATCTTGAAATGCGCTTCACTTTACTATTCATAACTGAAGTTTTTAATTTTCATTAACATACCACATCAGAGGCAGTGAGTTAAAAGTATCCATAAATGAGCAACAGAAGATGTTAAAGATGGATCTGATCTAGAGAAGGAGAAGCAAAGGGAATAGCAAATGACTGTGCTGAGAGAGGAAAAGGAGCGTATTTGACACCGGTGTGCAAGGTGCTCTTCAGTCAGCAGCAGCAAAATCTTCTCAGCTCACCTGACGCTTTGGAGGTTTCAGTTCATCTCTTGGAACAATATCGATGAGAAAGTCAAACTGATCAAATTTTGTAATTGCCATGGCGATATCATTCCTCTGGAACAAAGAAAAGCATAGTGAAAATTTAGACTGGGGAGAAATGAGTTCACCTGGCTTTATACCTTCCAAATTACAAGTAAGATAAGAGTACGACTTCTAAGCCAAACTGAATATCCGTGGCCAAGTCCATAGCTGAAAAAAAGTCAGAATGAAATGATCAGACGTGATGGGCAGACACCCACAAATAAGGATGCATGGCTCATGCTCTACAAACTGGAGATGAAGCCTCCAACTGCTACTACCTGCTTCAAGGCTGGCCCACAGTTGTTAAGTTACTGTCCTCCTGCTAAATGCACAAATTTAGCAATTGCAGCTGGCAGGTTTTGGGTCGTTCTGTGGTCAGGAAAGCTAGGCTATTGTACAATCTTATAACCTTCTTAAGGTTATAAATATTTTGTATTTTTGTTCAAAAGTAGTATACTTTATTTGGAATCTCTTGGCTGAAATCCTAAATCATTGACTTTTGGAAACATTTCCTAGTCATTAGGTCTATGTACATTAGTTTCCACAAGACTACAATTTTTATCGGAATTTGAAAGCATACTATTACATTTATGATTGTAATCTTTTTAAATGTGATGTGAATATTGTAAATGTGAAGTGACCGGACTACATAAGGGCAGACATGGGTAGAAAACATAGGACTCTGCTGACTAATGATACTGAAACGAAAGTCTGCCTTCTGCTGGCTTCTTTCTAAGAATGGTATTTCCCTGCTTTATAATTTTTAAAAATATATAATAGTTTATTTTTACGTCATTTTGTGCCTTTTCTCATCTCAGTTGTAATCCCAGTGGACTTCCCACCACCGAAATCCAGTGCATTTTGCGCCACCACCCCCCATTTTTTTTTTTTTTTAAAGATTTATTTATTTATTCATACAGAACTGGGGTACAGGCCAGAGGCTCAGGGGCGGTGAGAGGCTTCACCAGAGACAGAGTGGGGAGCAGAACAGGCAGATTGAAGAAGTACACTGCTGAGGGAAGCAGCGGGCGGGCCAGGAGAGGTCTGGCTCGCCATGTGGTCTCCTCCGGGGCAGGCGGCAGGCGGGAATCGAACTCATGCGGAAGTGGCTTCAGATTCTCAGTGCTGCGCTTTAACCCGCTGCGCCACCAGGGAGGGCCCCCCCCCCATTTTTGATCCCATTCCCTACTCCACCCTTGTAAAATATCTCTAGTATATAGTTGTTCATTATTATTATTATTATTATTATTATGATTTCCCCCCGGTCCTTTACACTCCTGCTATGAGTGAAACCATCCAGGATTTTTCCTTTTCTTTCTGGCTTATTTCACTAAGCATGATCCACTCCAGCTCCACCCATGTTGCTGCAAAAGGCATGTGGTTATCTTTTTGATTGCTGAGTAATATTCCACTGTGTGTATGTGCCAAATCTTTTTAATCCAGCCATCTACTTCTGGGTATTTGGGTTGATTCCATGTCTTTCCTATTGTAAATAAATCTGCTTTATAATTTTTTAAAAGACTTCTTATTAAAAACCAAAACATTATGTATACTTAAGATTTGTGTACTTTGCTATATGAAAATCTTAAAGCAAAAGAAAAGAAAGAGGAATAGCGAACTCTAGTGAACAAAATGCATACTGAAGTATTTAAGGGGAATAAACTTTGAGACACATTTAAAAATAGCTTACTTGACAGAGGGACAGATATGGAAAAAAACAAGTAAAATGTTAATAGTAGGCTCTGTCTTGTGAGCCTGTAGGTGTTCACTGTAAATGTTGCTTATGTGTGAAATTTTTCACCAAATGTTGGGGAAAAGTCAACATACTAACAGAAATCCTTAGCAACCTCTACACATCACCTTTTAAGAGAAGGTGACTCATCAGACAAAACAGGAGGGGATGGAAATTTTCTGCTTTTTCCTTCACTTGTCTGATGGCCTCAAGCCACTGAAATGCAAAACTCTAGTCCACCCTTCTTGCCAACCACCAGCTAGATAATAAACCCTCCCAACCGAAGCAGGGCACATCTTAAGGGTGCCAAGACTCTTTTAAGATTAGTACGATATAGTATCACATTCTTGATGATGTCACCTACTCAAGTTATCTAAACGGCTAACTGTAGATGGAATGAGGGGGTAAAAAAAGAAAAAGAAATAATCACCTCCAAACATACATTCAAGTCTTCTACAGTGTTTTGGAAACACAGCTATATTTAAATTGCTATTTTTAACATTTTTATTTTGCCCTTTCCAATGCTAACATTTTACTAAATTACTCATATACAGTAAAATGCAGAAATGTAAAACAAGGCTTAATGTTTAATAAACATTAGCACCCAGGTAGCTACCACCTAGATAAGAAAATAAAGTTTCCTTTCATCCCTTTCCAGTCAGTCAGCTGCTCCCAAATCTGAGGCAACCACAACCCTGATCTATCACCACATCTGTGATGAAGGGTTACAAATTGTCCCTCTGCCTTCTTTTGTTTAACACAGTATTTCTGAGATTCGTCCATGTTGTATGGATCAATCATCTGTTTTTTACTGCTGAGCAGTAATCTATTTTATGAATATATTAATTTGCTTATATCTACCCATTTTGATGGATTTCCAGTTTTTGGCTATTATAAATAAGATTGTCAGCATCCTTCTACACAAGTTCACACCTTGGGGTGAAGACCTCAGTCCCAGAACCTGTATTAGAAAGTGTCAAACAGTCTTCCAAGATACTGGACTTTCCATTCTGACCAGCAATACAAGCTCCAGTCACGCCAGCTCCTCACTGGCAGTGGTGCTGTCCATTTTATTTTACCATTCCCTACTACAGTGAGTATGCTTTTTTTTTTTTTAAAGATTTATTTACTTGTGCATACAGAACTGGGGTACAGGCCAGAGGCTCAGGGGCGGCGAGAGGCTTCGCCAGAGACAGAGTGGGGAGCAGAAAAGGCAGATGGACAAAGTACACTGCTGAGGGGAGCAGCGGGCGAGTCAGGAGAGGTCTGCCTCGCCATGTGGTCACCTCCGGGGCAGGTGGGGATCGAACTCATGCGGAAATGGCTTTAGATTCTCAGTGCTGTGCTTTAACCCGCTGCGCCACCAGGGAGGGCCATGAGTATGCTTTTAATTTGTATTTTCCAGATGATAAATGATGTTGTGCGCCTTTTTATATGCTTGCTTGTTATCTGTGTGTCTTATTTGAAGTTCCTGTCGAAGTATTTTGCCCACTTTATTTTTTAATCTAAACTGATCTTGAAGGAAGTTTTAACTGGATCTCTGTAGATGCATGGACACTTAAGGGAACAGAAAGTCACTTCTCAATGTGTAGCTGAATTAGAATGTAGGTTTCCCAAGGATGGGGACTTTGGTCTATTTTGATTATTAATCCCCCAAATCTAGAACAGTGTTTGGCAAGTTATTAAGTATTCAATGAATATCTGTAGAAGAGTAAATAAGCACATGCATTTTTATTCTTAGGGGTAAAAGGAAACAAGTCAGAAGACTTTCAGATACTGTCATGGCCTTGTACCCGACACACCTTTCCTCTTACATCTGCTCAATCTTTCCCAGAGAGCACGGGTCTGGCTTTTGAAGAGAGGCCCTTTAGAAAGTCAATGACCACAGGATCTTCATGTAATAGGTATGCTGATCTGCTGAATCAAAGTAAAAAAAAAAAAGGAGGGGGGAAAGAGGAAAAGGTCCCCAGGACAGCAGACAGAGTAGGGTGGCTAATGATGTTAGTGAGACTGGTTTTCCTATGACTCTTCTTTCCTGGCATCTCTCAAGGCTTCCTACCGAAAGTTGTTTACATACATAGATAGGTTTATCCTCGGTTTATAGTGAGGGCTTACTAAGTGAGGTTCAGTCACTGAGCTGTGAAAACCATGACAGAGTTAGAAATTAAACTTCTTGGGGAAATACTATCACGGCTGTAAGTATATCTGCTTCCCAATAGACAATTATGAAACAATTTGAAATGAAAAACCTTTGGTCCAAAGCCACACATGAGAAGCAGTCAAAGGCACTTGCTTGCCCAATTTCCCACGTAAGTCTACAACATTACCTGTAGAGTGCGTCGCTTGTTGTCCTCTGTGTGGATCCAGGCTCGAAGAGTCAACTCTGTGATAAAAATCTGGGCTGCCTTGGCAAAGAGCACAGGGGCTTCTGCACTGATCATCTGCAACAGATGTAGGCCCTCCCTGTCAATCACCAGCAAGTAGTTCAAACCAGTCAGTCTGCTCTTGCCTCATGTCCTACCATGGGACTATGGGGCAAGGGCTGGAAAGGTGGTAGCCTTAAGAGATTCCCAGGTAAAACAGATCCGTAAGTAGGGACAAAGTAACTAACAGGTAGAGGAGGGAAGAGGGGAAAAGAATACTTACTAATCTAGCACCTACCATGGATCTCCTTAACCTTGTATTAACCATTCAAAGAAACGGGTTTAGGAGCAATGAAGTGACGTGCCCAAAGAACTGAGCAAGAGGCAGTTTAGGTGCTACTCTACAGAGACAAGGTGGGCAAGATATTAAGTTTGAAAGTAAGTGAATTTAGTTAAAATCCCAGCTTTCCTATCTTTTGGGGCTTTATCTATCACATACTGAGAAAGAAGGTAACTTTCCAGTGTTGAGGGAATCAAAAGAGACAATATACATGTGTAAAAGCACCTAGCACAGAGCCTGGTACATAGTAAATGCTCAAGTAACTGCCTTGCCGGGTCTACTGCAAAGTTCAAGCTCTTGGTAAAACAAGGTTCTGAACCCTTGGTGAGGTGGTCTCTGCAGGACAGAGCTTTGGGAAGAACTGTGAGTCAGGAACAGAAGATGAGGGCTGGGATGGTAAGTCACTTAACTTGTGTCTATTTCCCTATCTATAAAATGGGACTAATAATTTTTCTTATTCTATCAAACCTTGCAGAGGTTCTATAAGGAGGAAGTGAACTAACAATAGGAAGACTGCTATGAACTGTTAGCTTTCTATGCACGTATGAGAGACAATCAACTATGAATGTTAAGGAAAAACAGTTGTTCTTTCTGTGAGTCATAACCACAGGTGGAGGCCTAGAAATACAGACGTGGTCACCCCCAAGTAAATCCTCTCCCAAGCATAATTCAGGTATAAACAACTCACAAGTCAAAAGTTAGAGCATCATTATTAAACCTTTCTTAGAGTTCAGATCAACTAATTAGAAGATGCAATAAGGCACCTATTGATTTGATGACATGTGTTTATAATACATGTTGAAAAGAATCAGTTAATTCAAAACCAAAAACTCAGCATCTAGAAAACAGGGTATCTCAAATTTTCGAAGATGTGCCATATAATAATTAAAACTGTTCCATTTCAGCCTATGTTAACCATATTGGACAACACCCAAATAAAACAGGCATAACTATTTCCATTTTTGTTTAGCCAAACTTTGAGCTAGTCTAGAGAATGAGCAATAGCCTATCCATTGCCTTAGTTTTAATGTGAATAAAAATGAATGTGAATTCACCTTTACGTCTTCATCCAATTTCATAATCTTCTTAATACGAGCCAGTGGGAGCTCCTGTACTCGGAAATCTTTCTGAAATGAGCAACAAGAAGTACATTCATGGTGGGGAAGACCAACAAAACACAATAGGTAGCAGGAAATACACCAACGGGTTAGTTCCCCCTTTTAGAAATACGGCTGGAGAGGAGGTACAGATGAAATGAAGAAAACACAATTTCCAAAACAAAATTTTTCTTCACTAATGCATAACTTCAAATATTAAAGGGTTGTAGGTAAACTTTCACAGCTTGCAATAGTGTCCCCATGAAAAGTAGCCCAGAAACAATATCAGATTCTCTGCCAGGACAATACAAAGGTACCTTGTGGGTGTCTTCCCCCCACAAGAAAGTTTACCAATCTTGCTAATGCAAGTTAAAATAAGACTTTTGCCTCTGTGGGGTTTCTCTAAATTGCCAATTCTTCTGTTCAGGTGTTATGAGGGCAAGTGCCAATAGCACCTGACCACCAAGACTGGCAGCTGTCTTCAGTCAATGGACACTGTCTACTTCTGACAGCAGAAATAAAGAAAGGAGGCTCCTTTCCTATCACAGCAGCAAAGGTCTTGCCTCCAAAATTTGACTTAAGGTAGGGGTAGGAATAGAAGAACATGGAAAATGGCTGAGGGTGAATCAGAATTAATCAGCTGCCTCTTCGGAGCAGCACTAGCACATACTTTTACTGCAGACAGAATTTAGGAAAGAAGCTTTTGACGAGCATGCCTCAGTTATGTGAAATGTAAGACTTTTGTTTTATTTTGATACTATGGTATTTAAACCCATGCCCAATGATGGATGCAATTCTAGAAATAAAAATCAATTCTGAGTTTCAGAGATGCAATGAAGAGAAAAGTGCAACGGCAGATTAGCTAAAATCAGCAAAATCTCTACTGGGACTAGGTGTCAAATGATTGATTCTATAAGTGGTCTGAAATGTGACTCACCAAATCCAATAAGCTCACCTGGGAATTTGCATCATCACATTATTGAAGGAGCAGCTACTACTTGAGATTTGGTATAATTAATATGCACCATTAACTTTCCCTTCCAAAGCCAACAGAACTCCTTAACTCTATGTCAAGGGTGGCAATGGGACATTTTGGAAAAACACTGCAAGTCTTCCCAGAACCCACTTATTGATTACACAAAGAAAAGCAGCCACTAGGACGGAACGTACACACACATCTCATTTCTCCATGCATTTCCAGTAAGTTGTCTAGTTAATCAACTCTACAAACTTTCCAATTTTTTACCTCCCCTTTTCCAAATTAGCAATTAACATTTTCTGTGAAGCCTCTTTTAAAATCAATCTTGCAATGGAGAGCTTTAATTAAGTATAGTTTGTTAAAATCTCACCAAAGGGGCAGTAGGGCATATTCTTTCTAGTCTTATTTTCTCCTCCTCTTTAATGTAGTCATCATGCAACTCAACTGATAGTAAATGCACATACCTACCACTATGTGAAAGATGCTTATCTATTTTTATCTTTGAACAGCTTGTAGTTTAATTGTTAAGAGTCTGTCACATTAAACACTGTAATCCCTGATCCTATACTAGAGTAGGGTTATAAAATCCCATGGGGACACAAAGAAGAGAAAAACCAGCTGGCAATGGGGAGGTTGAAGAGAATGAGAAGAGTTGGCAAATGTTCCACAAAGGGGCTGCCATCTGAACTGGGTCTAAGTGACGCTACAAATTTGCTTGTTGGGGAAGTATAAGAATGCTATTCAGATCATGGGAACAGCATATGCAGAAGCACAGAAATACAAAAATTAGGATCTGTATAGTAAGTTTTAAATATATGACCTGATTACAGATGGGAGCAGCAGAAAAGGAAATGCTGGAGTGGGGCCATACCTTAGAGGGATTTAAAAAAAAAGCTTAACCACAGGAATCAGTCACAGGTCTTCCTTCTTGCATGGCATATCACACAAAATAATACCGCTAAATATAAATGTCAAAGAGAATACTAGGGATGATAATTCCTTTGGAAGGTCTCTGAGGATGATATATACTATTATATACAGCACAACATTAGAACCCCAAGATTTAGTTCTCCTGCCAGTGTGCTTTCATTTGCCTTGATTTTTTAATATAATTTCTGTAAGAATGTTCTAAAATGACTTAACCGAAGTGCAAAGCTGACTAAAAAAAAAAGACTTCTCCAATTTGAAAGAGTAAAATATTACTTTTAGAATTTCTATCATACTATTTCTTAATTAAGCAACAAGGGATCAAAGATAAAGAGATTATATCATTCTCACCCTGGAAAGGTATTGGAAAGGTATAAAAAAGAGGTAGAACTTCACAAAAAGCTCTATTCTAAGCCTCACTCCCAACCTTTTCTTTTGTGCGAAACTTTCTCACAACCCCCAAACCTCAGAATCTCATGAGACAGTGTGTGAAAAGTGGATCTTTAGATGTGGATAACGGTGAGTGTGTGTTTCATTCTTATTGACAGTAGCCCAGTTTTCTATAATCTCATCCTGGCTTTCCAGTCACACATAAGGGTTTATAGTAAGGGCTACTGGAGAGGGGAGCCCTTTCACTATCAGCAGTTTGAGGTCCACTAACTTGGCTTTTAATTCAATGCTCCTCTTGTCACTGGCAACTATGCAACTGATGTAATATTTAACTTCTGATGCTGATCTAAGTGGAGGAACAATGGACACATAACTGACTTTCTTTTTACTCTTGGAAGTGATATCAACAAGGTGAAAGAGTGGGTCCTCTTTCAGAACATTCTAGTGTTCCTGACCACATTCAAAGAGCTACATTAAAAATGCTGCCATCTGAAACTGCCAAGTTTCAAAAAGTCTGAATTTACTCAATGAGAATTCAAGCCAAAGCAAAGTCAATGGGCCTCAGACTGCACTACAGAACATCCGGAGTTTGAAATAATGATGAGAAATCTTTTCTAAGGCACTCTGGCAAAATCAAGATTCTAATCCTCTCCTCTCAAAAGCAGTGATTCTCAACCTTGGCTGAATATTAGAATCACCTAGGAAGCTCTTGAAAAACACGATGGCTCGTTCTACCCCAAACTAACTGAATTGGGAACTCCGGAGAGTGGAGTCCTTGCATCAAATGTGGTCTAAACTCCTCTGATAATTCTGATCTACAGTGAGGGTTAGAACCGCTGCCTTTGATGATCTAAGGCATCACCTGGGAACTCAAAAGAAATGCATACACTCAGGTTCTACTCCAAACTTACATAAATCAGTATCTATATTCTGACAAGACCCCCAAGTGGTTCACAGACACAATCAAGTTAGAGAAGCACTTATCTTCAGGGAGAAACCAACAGCATAGAAACAATCTACCAATGTCCACCACCAAGTTCTTGTTAAAATAACTGCTAATTTGATTGTAATGTTAATGTTAAGTCACTGTTTAATCTGGTGGCACCAAAAATATGTATGACTGGCATTAAAAGAAAGTGACCAAGGCATCAAATTGCAGCTAACTTAATAGCTTCCCTGAATAGGATACAGGAATAGTTAAGGAAGAATTAGTTTTCTTTTCATGAGTCAGCAATGTTGCTGTCCCACCCTCACCACCAGCCCCCTCCTCCCAAAAGACAAAGGTAGCTTTATCTTCCTCACTGTCAAAGAGATCTAGTGGGGTAAAATTAGGAATATGGTTTTCACACAGTCATCCTGAAACACAATCATTTTCATATGAGTTTTAGTAAACTTCATCCCAGCCAACCACCACCTGGACTTACTGTTAGAATTTTTAAGCATGAAGAGTGTGATGAAATGAAAGATAAAGACTGTTTTTGCAGAACTTAGCTCAAAATTACTGGGGTGTTTCCAAACATCATGAAATATATGATCTAGCAAACTTCAATTACTTTTTGAGAACAATTTTTGTCCAAGTCTGAGAGAGACAATAACAGTCTATGCAGTCTCATAAATCACACTTATGTTTGGCTAGTTTGAACATACAAACTTGAAAAAAATCTATTAAGACTTTTTTTTAAAGATTTATTTATTTTTGCATACAGAACTGGGGTACAGGCCAGAGGTGCAGGGGCGGTGAGAGGATTCACCAGAGACAGAGTGGGGAGCAGAACAGGCAACTGACGAAGTACACTGCTGAGGGGAGCAGCGGGCGGGTCAGGGGAAGTCTGCTATGCCATGTGGTCACCTCCAGGGCAGTGATCAAACTCACACTGAAGTGGCTTTAGCTTCTTAGTGTTGCACTTTAACCCGCTGTGCCACCAGTGAGGGCCCATATTAAGACATTTTTAAATGTTAACCTAAAAGGGCCTGACATAACTGAGGGAAGTGTAGTTGTAAGTGTTACTGAGTTATGAAGGGCACTGACTAAATATTAAAGTACCTGGTCATGTTACACGGGCAGAAGTGCAGTCGGTGCCTTCATGTACCACAGGCAGAGAGAAAAATAAATCTTACAAAAAGGAGGGAACTCACCCCAATTTTACTGGGTTGCATTCTCACTCAAACTTGGCCATCATGTTGCTATGCACTAAATCTAAAGGGGAGGGGTTCTGATTCACTCATATACTTATTATGCTTACTTATTAGATATATTAAATATCAATTACAATATGCCAAATATTGTTCTAAGAATATTTTCAAAGACAGGGAGAAAATTTCAGTCATCAATAGAAAAATGATTAAAGACAACTTTCCTCCTTAGAGTTCTTTCTCTTTATTCACCCAACATAAATAAAACTGAATCCCTCAGAGTAATCTACTTTTAACCTATGAAGGACTAGCTGCCTAGGTACTAACAGCTGGTCAGCTTTGTTGGCAATCAAAATGAAAATTAAACCAAGGAGAGTAAAAATCAAAGGCCAGGGTCTCAAAGACATACTTACATATTCACATTCACTGCAGCATTATACATTAGAGCCAAGAAATAGAAACAACCTAAAAGTTCACTGACACACAGATGGAGAAACAAAGAGTGGTATGTTCTCATGTATGTGGAATATCACTAGTTTTAAAAAGAAAGGCAATCTGCCACATGCTACGTGGTGGATGAAACTTGAAGACAGTATTGCTATGTGAAATAAGCTAAAAAAGACAAATACTGTGATTCTCCTTATAGTACTGGACCTCTTACACAGGTCACAGAAACAGTGAGTAGAATGGTGGTTGCCAAGGCCTGTGCTCTAACGCTGGCTTTCTGCTTCAGAGTCATCACTGTGCCTGACTCAGTAAGTATCCTATAAATGGTTACTGAATAAGCGAGTCTGGTTATTAGTACTAGATATAAGCTCCTCAAGAATCAAGGTTGTAAACTTGGTTTTTTTAAGTCAATGGTTCCAACAGGGGATGATTTTAACCCCAAGGGGACATTTGCCAATGTCTGGAGATTGACATTGACTGTCACAGGCTGAGATGGGATGCTACTGGCATCCAGTGAAGAGAGAACAGGGATACTACTAGACATCCTACAATGCCAAGGACAGTCCCCAAACCCACTAATTATTCAGCCCAAAATATCAACAATGCTGCTGTTGAGAAACCCGATCTAAGTGTTATTTTTTTAATACCAGGAACGAGGGCCTGCCTACAACAGATCTGTTTGACCAATAGTTTTGACCAAGTTCTAGAAATGTGGAAGGGCCACTAATTCAGGCCTAAGAAAAGAGTGTCATCTATGAAAGGAAGGTGAAAGCTTTGCTTTTCTGTGTTCTTGAAAAGATACACATCACATTAAACTGGCTCTCAGTCAAAGCAGTCACAACAGGCTACATGCCTAAAAGGGAAACCACAAAGGTATTTTAAAAAAAATCTATGTAGTTACCTTACCTAAATTATATTTTCACTTTCCCACCAAAGGTCAAGAATGACCTGTACCTTAGTAAATGAGCTTAAGAATAAAAAATGTTTTAAATATTCATTACATAGCTCTCTACATTCTTTAAAAGTTTCTCATTCTTTCTTACCACTGTTAAATTCCGGATTTCTTCCATGACACGAGGCCAAAAGGACTGTAGGCTTTGCTGGGCATCACTGCTGCTAGTACCACCAAATCCACCTTCTGTGGACATTTTGACAACTGAAAACAAACAGGACACACATGAAAAATAAGGTCAGACCGTCTGTCCAGGTTAGTTACAGCTTTCCACATGGATGTTTCTGCTCATTCAGTGTCAGTCTAAAAAGGCACAGAATGGTGCCAGAGGCTTTTAACACAGACGTAGCAAAGCAGATGAAGGAAAGTACTCCCTTCTACCACCCAGCTTATACCACTAAGACAATCAAGGAGCTCCAACTAGTAAACTAAAATGGCTAGAAATCCAAGCTAAAATCTTAATTTGAGTCAAGGGCTTTTTTTTTCTTCTCCTCCATGTGGGTCACCTCCAGGGCAGGCGGGGATCGAACTCATGCTAAAGTGGCTTTAGCTTCTGATGCTGCGCCACCAGGGAGGGCCTGAGTCAAGGGCTTTTTAAATGTCTTATGTTGGGGGCGTTATTTGGTTGCCCCAGTCTAGTTCATAATTTTAAATCCTATTCCTCCCCAGAAGTTATCCAAGTTCTGCGTGACTTCTCACACTCCATGCCATAATCTGTAGCAGATACCCAGTGATTAAAACTATGCAGAAATGTAAACCAAATGTCTTTAAAAAAGAGTCAAGGTTATTCTTTTGTTTTAGTACTTGTAGCCTCATTTCTTTTGGGCCACCGATGAATATTATTCTTTGTATTCTCAAACAAATCCATCCTAAGGATACAAAAGCCTAAAACAGAGGTGAATAATTGAATGGGTGGCACAAAGTCTCTGAGCTGAAATAACCCCTCTCCCCCCCTTTCACCTGAACTCTGCTGTTCAGCACAAAGCCATCATGGAAGTTTTAGAGATGGTTGGAAACCAATAGGGAATTAAAGTTTAGATTAAAGAAAGGCAGAACCTGTATTTAGTTACCTGTTTTGTAGTGGGGGAGTCACAAAGATACCCGCGTCAACTGTAACTGTAAATAATACTGTAATGGCTTCAAGAATTTTAGGGGGGAAATAAAAAACTCCAGATGGCTTAAATATTTATTTGGAAAATACTTAAGTGCAAAAACAGTTTAATGAGACACAAGGGAGGAAAAACTTAGTGACACCCTAATAATTTCTATTTTGAGAGATTATTTGAAAAGTGCTAACATGCCAGTAACAGTGACAGGAAACTGGTAGCAAGCTATAGGAGTTACTAAGAACTAGTTCTAAGAAGTTCTTCTCCCTGACTGCTGTCGCCATGCAAGTGTCTCTTTTTCCCTTTTTCTACTAAGCCTCTTCTTCCAAATGTTAAAAAACACACACAAACAAAAAACCCTAATTCTGGAAGACTGAAAGAAAAGGACAAAAGCCAGGAGTCACATGACCAAATGTGTCACTTTTCAGGCTCTGTGGAAATGCACACAGTGTAGAAGGATGGAATGAAAGGCTGCTAAATCTAGATTGTGAGGACAGTTGATTCAATGTTTACCTGTATTTTTCCTAGAGGTCTCTGATTTTTTTTTTTTTTTTTTTAGTTTTCCTTGTAAAGGAAATGACAAGAGGAAAGAAACAGAATGAAAACAAGAATACAATCTTCAAACAGATTTTGTTCTGGTGTAATGACATTAGTGGGTGGTGATGTAATGGGAAAGGTTTGGAGCCAACTTCTGGCGTTAGAGGCCTACAAGGAGCTCTATACATCAACAAAAACTCAACTACTAGGAAGCAATATGATCTTGGAGTTTCTACACAGAATTAAAGTAAGTAGTGTGTTAAATCACAGCTGGAAATGACTAGAAAAAATTTTGAATCCTAAATAACCAAGTAAGGTCCTCTTAGCTCACATGGTATGTGCACTTATCACTATGTACATACAGCCGGTACACTATTCTCATAGTAAATGTACTAAGAATGAATAAATCAAGATGGTCTAGAGTAACAATTTATTTTTAGTAACAAAGTACAAGATACTCTAGACAACAAAGAGGTTCACTCTAACTTTTAAAGTGGGGCAAATAAAGAAATCTAGAAATGAAAACAACTGTCAAAAACTTACCCATGGACAGGGTGGATCTTAGGAAAATCTGCCACGTAAATTGCTATGGTCAAAGCAGGGAGGTGCACAAATACCAGTGTGCTATCTTGCATACTTACTAATGATGACATTTAGTTTGAATTCAAAGGTTTGGGAGATTTAAAAAGGTGGTAACAAGTTTGAACTATCTTCTTATCTCTTATCGTAGACATTAATTACAAAGCTGCACAATTCAAGAAGCACTTGAATTTTTTTTAAAATGTGTTTGTTTTAAAACTTTGAACCGTCCCAACTAAGGATGAGTTGGGCACAGTCACTTCCCAAACATCTGTACAGTCAGGCAACAGATCTTGAATGAGCTTTTTGGCAGGCTCATAAACACATAATGTTAAGATTGCGGGCTGGGTCCAAGTTATGAAATCTTTTTTGGACACAGAAATATATTAAAGGTTAAGTGTTTAACTTGAGAAGCCCATCTGCATTATCACAAATAGATGTGGGAAAATACTAGTCAATATTAATACCCTTTATATTTCATTGCATCACGCAGTTTGGAACTAAAAAAAAGATATCAGGAACCACACAAAACCATTTTTCTAATAAATGCTCACAATTCTACTACAACACCCAGTCCCCTCAATTGCACTCAAAATGGTCTTCAGCTTAAATATGAACTTCTCCTTCTCTAATTCTTTTCTATCTGTGTACTGCTCTGATGATTCTTCTTTACATTAAATTGAATTTATAAGGTTCCTTTTAAGCTTTGGATTTAGAATTATAACCATTAGGACTTTTCCATTCAGATAGCTCATTTTCTAAATTCTAGAATGTCCCATCTCAGTAAGGTCAGAAGACCCTCTCTTGAGGAAAAGAGAGAAAAAGATCTGGAGCATGTTTTCTAGCATCTCTGCACAAGATGATTAGTAGTTAATACTTTCAGTATCTCTTGGAAGAATATAAGTTGCTATTGCAAAGTTCCTAGAAAAGGTGAACACAATCTAAAAAACTTTTCTTTAAGCAGCTCCAGTTTTTTACATGGGCCTTTAAAAACCAGGCCAAATCTCAAGGAACAAATTTTATGAAAATAAGGTGATGTTTTCAGTATTGTCTAAGGCATATCTTAATGTTACAGTAATAAAACCTAATCAGAAACACAAATTTTTCTCACCAAACATCTCAACAAGTTAAAAAAAAAAAGCAAACTTAGTTACTATTATCACTTCTTATTTTTGCTACAGAAGGAACCTATTTGAACAGCTACAGTTCACAGGAAATGCACCAGGTTTATTTTCAAGGATGATGAGAGAATGTAGGTATTTAAAAAAAGGATTTATATTCCAGGATCCTTTTTATTCCATGTTAAACTGCTCTCTCCACCATGGGATAAAGTTGACAAGGATAAAACTGCTTTAAGAGCAAGGCACATTAGCTTAGATCACTCTAATGAAAAATGCAATATAGAATTTCCCATATTTAATTCATTATTAATATCAGATTTATCACTCACATTCATTAATTACTTTATAAATAGTTAAATAAGCCTGCTATTTAAGAATTTAATAAAGACTTAAGAATCAGATGAAGTATTGAATAGTTGTGGCTACAAGTAATTTCAACTCCTAATATCTATTAATTTATCTATTTTTTTTTAATTTTTTGGCGTTTTTTTTTTCCTTCTTTTTTTCTTTTTTTTTTCCATCTCAACTGTAATCCCCGCGGGTTTCCCAAATTTACCTGGTTTTAAAAACAATTTGTTTTCCAAAACTAGAATGGGAAGAATCAAAGTCCATCATGCACACACTATTTCTCTGATGCTCAGTTCAACTGTCATCTTTCCACAAGTCTTTTAAACCTTCTCACCTGGCAGTGGTTACGTTTTCCTGTGATCCTTCAAAGTCCTTAATCTATAACCTCTTTCTCTCCTCACTACATAACCTGTAATGAGGATATACACTATTTATGTGTATATTTTATTATACATCCCCTTCTACAAGCTCCCTGAGGATAGGATATGAATTTGATTAATCTCTGGAATTCTCATAGTTATCTAGCACAAAGTTTGATAAGTAATTACTCATGAATGAAAAAGTAGGAGAGTTGGTGGGTCTGGCTTTTCTGAGAAAAAGACACCTCTTGGTAAGTTTGGCCCTGAAATAGACCTATTGGGATTACTTGAACAACCACCAGAAGTGGTCACACATGCTGTCCTAGAAAGCTCAGAATAAATGAGGTCTCTATGGGTCTTTACAGTAAGAAGGAAATTCATAATCAGAAATCCACCTGAAGCGGACTGCCTGAAGTGAATTTAAGAGAAGGGGTATTAAAGGAAGAACATGAACACAACCCCCACACATACATATGCAGGTACATGGGTCACACACTGTGCTGTAAGTTGCAAGACAGAATGGAAGGCTAGAAACAAGGGTACATACTATTCCTAAGTATAAATCTTTTAAAAGTCAGAACCTTTCTCAAAAGGTAACCAGGACAGAGTAGCAAAATTTGAAAATAACAATGATAAGAAGCACAAGGAGGGCAAATACCTCTGTTTGGCCATCCATTAGTAGGAAGACAGGAGAAAATCATGGAAGAAATGAGATGATTCAGTCACGTCACTCAAAGGTGGATAGCTCTAGCTGTCATTCTAATATCCAGTTATTTTTAATCATTCTTGAAGAAAGAAAAGAGACCTAAGCAGTTTTCAAGCCATCCCAGAAGCAGCTTGCAAGTCCTCCCTTAGTGATAGGCCTAGATGTGGAACAGGAGGCATCAAAACGGTCAACTTCATAATATGCAAAGAAACACAGGGTTCTATTATAATATTCTCTGGTTTCTAAGACACTATACCTTTAGATTTTAAGTTTTCTAAACCCTCTGAGGTAACTAAAACCAGACGTTGACAGAAGATCAGACCTAAAACCTTACATTACAAAGAAAAAGAACACAAGATGTCCCCTAAAATGAAGTATAGTCCTTGACCAATGCTACTTCCTATTAAAGTACTCGAGTTGACCCATGCCAGGCAGACATGTTTTATTT